GCAAAAGGGTTAACTCCTTCCCCTGCCAAATAACTTTGTCGGTATATTAAAACCAACAAATTATTTAGGCAGGTGAAGGGGGGGCAGCTGTAGACCCCTAATTTTGCCCAGCCTCTCAAAATAAAAGCTAGGGGAACTTCACACGAAAATAAAGTTCACCCGGCTTCCTATCAAAAACTGAGAAAGACCTCCCGCAACAAGACGGAGTTCACCCATCCATACAATAAAGACTAAGGAGACTTCCTACACAAAGATAAAGCTCGCCCGGCATCTCAACAAGGATCAAGAAGACTTCCTACACGAAGATAAAGCTTCAACGGACATATATCGGCATCAATCTACGTCTGAAAATAGCAAAGAAAGCTTCTCGGGGGTCCCAGAACACAAGAGCTGCTAAAAACAGGTCGAGACAGTCGTCCCAAATGACACTGGTCGTCCCAACACTGTCAAGGGTGGAGTCAAGAACAAAAAATTCAATTGGGACGGCCGTCCCAAACACAACTGGTCGTCCCAACCTGACTCAGTGCAAAAAATGCAGTTGGGACGGCCGTCCCAACCCAGACGGCCATCCCAAAGTTCCAGGCGAAAAAAGGCTATAAATAGGAGGTCCTTAGGTCATTCTCCACACCCCAGACAACTCCAAGACTTGTCTTCTTCTCTCCCTCCTTCGAATGATCTTTCTGATTGCCTTTAACAGGTAACAATCAGTTAAGGAATTTGTATTCCGGCATTCGATTCTTCAATAAAAGTTTAGTCGAGTCGATATTATTTTCGAGAGGAGAGTCATTGTAGAGCGAAGGATTGCCGCAAAGCATCCTCTGTGTAAAAGACTTATAATATAAAGCTTGCTTCGGAGGTTCTTCTCAATTCTCTTCTCTTTTACTGCTTTATTTATTTCTTTTTGTATGCAATGTAGATAAAATCATGTAGATAGCCATATTTAAATATTGTATGAATAAAAGAGGGTAATAGCGTAATTTCTCGTAATCTTTACTTAAATGAATTAATCCGTCATAGGGAACCCGAAAGGGGCGTTGTGGGGTGCTAATACCTTCCCCACACGTAACTAACTCCCTTACCCGACTCTGGTTATAATGGCCAAGTTTGGTTTTTATTAAAATCAATGCCTTTTTCTCCTTTTCCAATGTTTATGGTCAAAACATTGGTGGCGACTCCAAAAGAACCATTTTCGAAAACCTTGCTTCTATTAGAGGATAGTTTAGTGTTGAGCGCCTCGGAAGCAATGAACATATTTTTAACAAAAAACGCGAGTCTCAACCATCTTTTTACGACCGCTCGCATTAACGTTCGAGATGTCCCTGGACGTCGGAACGGACGGCGGCGACAATAGGACTCAGGGGTTGTATAGCCTATTCACCAAGAGTAGCTATGAGACAACTCATGAGGACTCAAACTACAATATCCCGAGGGGAGCTCGGAGGACTGTGTTTCTTCGGAGACCCATGCACGATTGCTAACTCACTAGCTGTGAGAAGAGCATGGGAGAAACCAGTCTTTATGGGAGATAGAGAGCTAGGAAAAGCTCGAGTGGCTCTCTCCAATGACTACGAGGAGTGGAGACGGAAAAGAGGGATCTCTCAACCATCCACCTCACTCGCTACATGTGCAAATAGTGAAGAGCTGCAAACACAATTCGACGCCTTGACCCCGAGGATAGAAATCATGGGAGCCTAGATGAGGGCCCTTGAAGAAAGAGAACAAGAATCTATCATCACCATAGACGGTCTACAGAGACAATGCAAGAAAAATGATAATGAAATAGAGTGCCTCAAGGATCAATATGCTGACTCTAATGAGCAAGCTATCCGAGCATCCAAAGCTGCTAGTACCAGCTCGGATAGCCAATTCCAAGAAATAACCGCCAAATCAGCACGCCTTGAGGCCGAATCAGCAAAACAGGCTCAGACGATCAAGGACTTGTTACAAGATCTCACAACGACTCAGTCAGAAATACGCCAAGAGCAAGAGGCCAACCGAAGACTCAACAGAAGTCTCACTGAGCTACGCTGCAAAGAAAGAGATGGGCTAGATCATTATGATCAAGTACTGCGAGAGAAGGACCGAGCCCTTGCAAAGCTCGACGAGCTACAAGCCTTGGTCGTCCATCAAGAGGCGAAGATCAAAGAGGCTCAAAAGTACAGTGAAGATATGAGCCAGGAAGTCCAGAAGCAAAGCGAAGCACTCGCTCGTCACGTCCGGGAAGCCGAGAGGGAATTACATAGAGATCAAGACCCGCCTGTGGGTTTCTTTAGGCTTTTCCGTTTCTGTCAAAAGTTGTTTCATAGTATGGAATAGGGGAATGTACACCTTCTACGGATAAATGAAAATTTTCTTTAACCAACAATTGTCTACTTGCGTGCATATCATTCATTCGCATATTTAATTTCCCCTCCTTCACTTTTAATAAACAAGATAATAAAAAAGAAGGATTAACTGATACGTCTTCCAAATCAGAAGAATGGAGAGAAAGCCTCTTTTAATCAAGCTCTCCCCAACGGTCGATCCACCACAAGAGGATAATAAGCCTCGGTCGTTGGTCCTCAAAACCAATAAGGAAGAGGGGCAAGGACGCCCGTGTGACTATTTATGCGACGTTCTTTCCCCTACGAATCAAATAAAGTTGTATCATGGAGATACGAAGAATCTTCACCAATAAAGGAGGATATCTCCAATATAGCCGGCATTGGGGGATCACTAGAAGTGGAAGAGTGTACTCCCCCAAGGACTTACAAGAAGATATCCCCAAGAATAAAGGAAAAAATAAACAAACCGAAGAAAAAGAAAATAAGGAATCCAAGGAGGAGACCGAGGAATTACTCTTGTTTTAAGGCAAAGCGAGTATTCCATTATTGATCAGCTCAATCCACCTGCTAAGATAACCCTGTTATCTCTAATGATGAGCTCGGAACCACATAGAAATGCCCTGATGAAGGTCTTGAGCAAAGTGCGTGTACCTCACACCATATCCCAAGAAAAGATCGAGAGGATTGTCGGTCACATCACAGCAAACGATCACCTCACCTTTACAGAGGAAGAACTCCTCCTCGAGGGGTCAAACCACAACAAGCCCTTGCACATTTCTATCAAGTGCAAGGAGTACCTCGTCGCCAAAGTTCTTGTGGATAACGGGTCATCCTTGAATGTGATGCCCAAGTGCACACTCGACAAGCTGACTATTCAAGGAACCCGTCTGCGCCCAAGCAGCACTATCGTTCGAGCCTTCGATAGATCCAAATGAGAAGTAGTGGGAGAAGTCAATCTGCCAATCCAAGTTGGACCCACTATCTTCAACGTCGATTTCAATGTAATGGATATTACTCCGACATATAGTTGTCTCCTCGGCAGACCTTGGATTCACGATGCTAAGGCAGTACCTTCAACGCTCCACCAGAAAGTCAAATTTATAGTGGATGACAAACTGGTCACGGTCCAAGCAGAAGACGATATCCTGATCAGTGGACCGTCAAATTTTCCTATTTTGACAAATTTATTGTGGTGATATATTTGACAATATTATGGAAAAACTTATTATTTCAGTCACCGCATCTAGATTTTTTTTTTTTTTAATAGTATCTATTGTGCTTGATTCAACTCAAATTTCTTTCCAATAAGACAGAAATATCCTATACGGATAGAGTAATCTGCTCCCTGTGATCATAAATATTTTCTTTAGTTTTGGCATCCAACAATGCTATCTTTCTAAACTTCTTTAATTATCTCATGGCACCCATTATAATAAATCAACACTAGTGATTTTGTTTTTGGCGACTCTTGGTCCTGTTTCTTAACAAAGTTAACTTGCAAAAGATGGAGAACTGTATGTTTTCAGTTTTATAGTGAATTTGGAATATGAAAAATCAATGAATATTTGGTGGAGCTTCTTTTGATGACAAAAAATTATGCATGATATCTACTTTACCGCTTGATTGTGGTTGTTGTACAAGGGATCTATCTTCAAGTATTCCTCTGTGCTATGATAAAAAAAACATAGAGAGCTGCATCCACACTATAATGGACTTTTGCATGGATCATCATTAGAAATTGATTTGGGTATTAAATGGGAAAGATGAACTAGGATAATGGGATCATAAATGTACATTTTTTATATATCTTTTTTTTTTTTTTATGGGGAGCATAACTAGTGACTTTTTATAAGAATATCTGTTAGTGTTTTTTCTTTTGATTTTTATGCCAACAGGTAAAAAAATGATTTAATTTGAAGAGATTTTCTAAGTTTGTTTACTGCAGAAACAACTTTTATTAAGGGTGGATATTCCTTGTATCCTTATTCTTTATCTTTTATTTATATAAAATTATTGGCTTATAAGAAAAATAAATAAATAAACTTATAATAGTTAAGGTATACCCTTGTCCCTTTTATTTATATACAATTATCTTGCTGATAAAAAAAACATAAAATGTTACAGCTTCGCCTGTATGCCCAATGATTTTATTTTAATACTGCCTATTATGAAACAAATTATTATTAGAAAAAAAAATAAAAAAAATATATATATATATATATATATATATATATAACAAAAGAAAGTCCTGTGTAAATAAAAACGAACCTAAACATAAATAAAATTAAACATATAACTAAAAACAATTCCAGTTAAAAGAAAAAGACACCCTAAACATAAACAAAATAGAACGATAAATCTGTCAGAGAAAGCATTTGGTAGTTGTATCAATATGGAGAAGCCAACAAATAATGGAGGAGCCAACAAATAAGTGTGCAACAACTATGCAAGTTCGTGTAACCATCAAATTAAGTAAATGCAAATTTGTAAACTCAGGTTGCAACTTGGTGTTTCCCTGTATCTAGTTGGTAGAACCCTAATTCGATACTCCATCCCTCCTATCTAATGCACTCCATTTCCTTCCATCATAATTCACCATTTCCATCATCACTTAATCTTTTCTCACCCCTACCATCACCACCTTGTTTAGTTCAACTCTTTGCTTGCGTTTCCAAGATGAATTCCAGCCACACCATCTTCTCCTCAGCCACGTTGTTGTTCAACATCCCCGAAAAGCGATATGATGTGTTCAACGTGTGCATGGATCAACCGATGAAGATAATATCTGATGGCGTTTGGAACCACAATGGACCATATCCTACACAATCTGCATTCACCGTGCTTGAGCTTCAAATAGTTACCATCTTCGTTGTCACGCAAGTCTTTCATTTTATTCTCAAGCGATTAGGGATCCCTTATTTCGTTTCACAAATCATGGTGTGTCTCTTTTCTATGCTCATCATCGTTTTCGTTGTGCTTCTTTCACTCTGTTTCTAAATCAATACAAATAACGTAAAAAAAAAATGTAGTCAATTGGTTCCAAAAACATGTATTAAAGATTAGCATTATTGAATCTTTTTCAGGCTGGTTTTGTGCTAGGGCCATCAATTTCGCTAGGATCTTTTGAAAAGTACAAGAAGATGCTGTTCCCGTTTGGGAGTCCAGATATTCTGAACACAGTGGCATCATTAGGGTTCTCATTCTACCTTTTCATAACAGCAGTGCAAATGGACCTAAGTTTGATCGTGAAAACGGGGAAGAAGGCATGGGTCATCGCACTTTCCTCATACTTCGTTTCCATATCGGTTGGCATTGGTCTCATGAACTTGTTCCTTCCCACGCTGGTAAACTTTATCAGTAACGAGGAAATTGTCATGAGCTTGCCTATGGTCATCGTAAGTCAGGGCGGCGTTTCCTTCGCCGTCGTCGCAACCCTACTCAATGACCTCGGTATCCTCAACTCTGAACTCGGCCGCCTTGCCCTCTCCACAGCTTTCGTCAACGACTTAACTGGTAAAATGAATATTTAATTTTCAAACTATTTAATTGAAGATAATTTTTAGTAATCTTTCCAGTTACATAATACAAATCTAATTATTAATAGCATAAATATTTTTGTGCACAAATGTTTATTATGTATTTTTTCATTTAATTAATACTTTTTTATTTCTGAAGAAAAACAAACGGAAGAAAAAATTTTAAAGTTGGTTCAATTAAAAGAATGGATTGGATTGACATTAAATTTGAAAGGATTGATGGTGATTAAAAGCTGTCTGTTGATTTATTTTCCCTTTGACTTGCATGTATCTGATTTGCATTGTTCTCTTATGATCAGGTGGAATCGCAGCAGGGTTCGGTGCTGACTATTTGAAAAGCCTTGAGTTGGAATTCTCTGCTCAAGTTAAAAACGTAGTGGCATTTTTTGTTTACCTCATCGGCATTCCACTAGTCGGCCGTCCAATGATGGCGTGGATTGTGAAGAACACCCCAGAAGGGAAACCGGTGAACAAGATATATATCTATGCCATCATAGTGTCGTTTTTGGGATTAGGGTACTTTGCAGGGAACTTCAACCAACCCTTCTTAGTAGGGGCTGTTATTTTAGGCCTTGCAGTTCCTGAAGGTCCTCCTTTGGGGTCTGAATTGGTTTCCCAACTTGAGTTGTTCTCCAACTGGTTCCTCTCCTCGATTTTTGTCACATGTTGCACCATGAAGGTGGATCTTAACGACTGTGATTCTTTCAGCTTCTTTGTGATCATAAGCTTCTTCATTCTTTTGGCCCAATTGATTAAGATGCTATTATGCATGGGAATTTGCTCCTACTGTAAAATGCCCTTCTCTGATGGCTTCTGCCTTGCTCTCATTTTGACCTGCAAAGGTGTTGTGGATATCTGCTCCTATGTCCTAATCTTCGATACGATGGTACGTGATTAATTCTTGAATCATTCATTCATGCATGTTTCTACGATATGTATTTTTGGTATTCATGGTTGGCAAATCTTGACCATTTATTGGGTATAAAATAATATATTATTAATAAATAATAAATAAATATAAAACGAAGAAAGAATATGAAAGGGTGAAAAGATAAAATTGTAGATATACTTTATGTTTGAAGTAAACAAAATGATAAATTATATAAGAGTTACAAAACTGAGAACATGATAAAATTATAAATATATAAGTAAATATATTAAAAGTTGATTATGCTCGGAAGAACAAAATAATAAATTACATATAACTTACAAACTTTAAATTTTGAGGAGTCCCAATAATAATCAAATCGTCTTATCGTCTACGTAGATTCCGTGCATTAATTGTAGGATAAAATGTACAAGTGAAATTAAACATGTCAAAATTATACCATGGTTGTTTGTTCAATTGTTGAACTAATTAACTGGTTTTGATTGTGCAACCATTGCAGGTGCAAAGTAAAAAAGTAATAGGTGTTTTGGTCATCTCGGTGATGGTCCTAGGAACAACTTCGAGGCTTGGTGTGAAGGCCTTGTATGACCCTACAAGGAAATACGCAGGGTATCAAAGAAGGAACATCATGAGCTTGAAACAAAATCATGAGCTTAGGGTCGTTGCATGCATCCACAAGACGCACCAGATGATTCACATCAGAAACGTGCTCCAGCTTTGTTCCCCTTGTCCAGAGAACACACTAGTGGCAGATATTTTGCATCTGATGGAGCTAGTTGGAAGGTCCACTCCCATTTTCATTGCACACAGACTTCAACAAAAAATGGGGTCCTCCTACAATTATTCTGGGGAAATCATTGTTACCTTCGACCTTTTTGAACGTGACTATGCTGGTTTTGCCACTGCCAACACCTACACTGCCATATCCCCAGCATCACTGATGCATGAAGATGTTTGTCACCTTGCACTGGACAAAAACGCAGCCCTTATAATCCTTCCATTTCATGTCAAATGGGGTGGGGATGGTTCTGTTGAGTTAGAGGACAGCAACATAAGGGCATTTAACGCTAGAGTTTTGGAAAGGGCACCTTGCTCCATTGGGATTATGGTGAACCGTGGTCCTTGTGGCTTTCACTCAGCAAGTTACAAAGTGGCCATGGTTTTCTTGGGAGGACCTGATGACAGAGAGGCCTTGTGCTTGGCTAAGAGGTTTACCAAAAACCCCGACAATAGGTTGTTTGTGTTTAGGTTGGTTGCGCATGACCGTGATATCACCAATTGGGAACATATGATTGATGATGAGGAGTTGAGGGAGGTGCGTGGAGCTTATGGAAAACTAGAAAATGTGACATATGTAGAGAAGACAATAGAAGATGCATCTCAGACAACGTTTTTCATCAAAGATATAGCCAACAAATTTGATTTTATCATTGTTGGGAGACGCCATGGCATGAGATCTTCGCAAACATTTGGGTTGGAAAATTGGACAGAATATTCGGAGTTGGGGGTCATTGGTGATTTGCTTGCTTCACCTGATATGGAGACTAGGGCTTCAGTTTTAGTAGTGCAACAACAGTCAACGTCTGTATCATGACCATACGAAATAAAGAATCCATATTTGTACGGAAAAAACTATTTTGACACCAATTTTGTAAACAATTACTTGATTTTAATATTATAATGATAATTTTAAATTATTTTTGTTTTTATCAAATCTTTTTATTTAATTTATATTAATAAAAATGAGTTGTAGAGAGAATAGTTATCTCTTCTTGTAGAGAGAAAGTGTCATCGTACGTATCATCCTCTTCTTGTATTTGCCAGTCACTAGCAGAAATTTCTGATTTACTGAGGGATCCAGAGCCGTCGGAAATTGAGTAATTACTGACGGATTTAAGATAGTTGTGAAATTTGGTTTTACCGACGGATATATCCGTCGGTAAATAAAATATTCATTATCGAGGCATATATCCGGTCGGTAAATTCCAGGAGGAAGTGGTTCCCTCCAAGCGACCTCGAAAATATAACTTATAATTATATATATATATATATATATATATATATTATAGAAATTAAAATAAATTATATTTAGAATATATATATTTTAAATATAAATTATTTTCAAATTCATAATTATTATTCTAATGTATGCAAATATATATATATATATATATATATATATATAAATAATTAATTTAAAGATTTTAATTTAAGTAATATAATATATATAATTTATTTAACATTAATTTGATAGTTATAATTTTTTTAAAGTTATAATTATAAATATGATTTTTTAAAATATATATATAATATTTATAATATATAATTGATAAATGATTTTTTTATTTTAATTTAATATATATGTGTCACTTTTAAGAGGGTTAATATTGAACCGCTCTTAAAAGGAAACATGTAATAGCGGTTAAAGATTAACCGCTCTTAAAAGTGACCTATAATAGCGGTTGCACTTAAACCGCTATTGTATATACCCGATTATGATCGATTAATTTTTAACATAATCGATTATATTTTCAGATTTGGTTTTACAGACGGATATCCGTCGGTAAATTTGAGGCAGACCTCCAAAATATAGCTTATTCTAATTTATTTTAATTTCTATAATATATATATATATATATATTATAGAAATTAAAATAAATTAGAATTTAGAATATATATATATATATATTTTTTTAAATATATATTATTTTCAAATTGATAATTATTCTTCTAATTTATGCAAAAAATATATATATATATATATATATAATTAATTAATTTAAAGATTTTAATTTAAGTAATATAATATATATAATTTATTTAACATTAATTTGATGGTTATAATTTTTTTTAAAGTTATAATGATAAATATGATTTTTTTAAATATATATATATATATATATATATATATAATTTTTATAATATATAATTGATAAATGATTTTTTTTATTTTAATTTAATATATATGTGTCACTTTTAAGAGCGATTAACATTTGAACCGCTCTTAAAAGGAAACATGTAATAGCGGTTAAAAATTAACCGCTCTTAAAAGTGACCTATAATAGCGGTTGCACTTAAACCGCTATTGTATATACCCAGTTATGATCGATTAATTTTTAACATAATCGATTATATTTTCGAATTTGGTTTTACAGACGGATATCCGTCGGTAAATTTGGAGGCGACCTCCAAAATATAGCTTATTCTAATTTATTTTAATTTCTATAATATATATATATATATATATATATATATTATAGAAATTAAAATAAATTAGAATTTAGATATATATATATATATATATATATATTTTAAATATAAATTATTTTCAAATTCATAATTATTCTTCTAATTTATGCAAAATATATATATATATATATATATATATATATAATTAATTTAAAGATTTTAATTTAAGTAATATAATATATATAATTTATTTAACATTAATTTGATGGTTATAATTTTTGTAAAGTTATAATTATAAATATGCTTTTTTTAATATATATATATATATATATATATATATAATTTTTATAATATATAATTGATAAATGATTTTTTTAATATTAATTGAATATATATGTGTCACTTTTAAGAGCGGTTATCATTTGAACCGCTCTTAAAAGGAAAGATGTAATAGCGGTTAAAGTTTAACCGCTCTTAAAATTTACATATAATAGCGGTTAAACTTTAAGCGCTATTTTAAATACCATGTTATGATCGATCATACTTTCAAATAATCGATTATATTTTCAAATTATCTAGTTTTTAGATAGCGGTTGACCTGGAACCGCTATTATATGTTCATTTATAAGAGCGGTTCAATTGGTAACCGCTCTTAAAAGTTACACTTACTACCCACTGGCTCGCGGCATCACCTCCCACCTCTCATAATCTCCTTCAATTCTTCTCCTTCACCAACCTCACTTACTCTCGCCCCACCTTCACTGAAAATCAACTGTATTCGGGTCGCCTCCCTAGCTTGGGTCGCCTCCACCACTAACCGTGAATCGCCTCCCTACCCATCCACTCACCACGGATTGAAGCGGCGGCCGAGTCACTTGTCGAAGGTGAGGGCATGACCTAGCTCCCCTGTCGAGGTTAAAGTCGAGGTCGGGATCCGTATTACGGGTTTATTTTTGCTTTATGTTTGTACCTTATTACGATTTAGCATTGTAGGGTTTTGCTTCTCATCCGCCATTCGAAGAAGAGTAATGGCAATTTCTAATACGAGTGTAAAATGCTTTTAAATCATGGAAAAAAATACTCTAAAACAAATGAAGATGTTGTTTTACTCATTATAGAAAACTTGTTTCCTTCAAATAAATGTCAAGATTGCACAATGTGGAAAAGTATATGCGAGTGAGAGAGAGAGAGAAGGGTTCGAGTGATGGTGTTTAGTTACGTATTTTGTTATGAAGATTAATCAACAATAAAACTGGTAGCACATACCTCATACCAATTAACATAGTTATGTAAACAAGGGTCATGTGTTGTCTTTCAATATTAATAATTGTTTTTGGTACACGATACTTCTTGCGGGTTAAGTGTTGGAAAATCAAACGCCAAACAAAGGCTCCTCAAGCTGCGGGGACTATCCATACTGATTTTGAAAGGGGATTTATTTGTGCTTGAGGTGAGTTGAGTTCATGAATATTGACATTTCTTGATTTAACCTGGTTGATTCTTCCTGTTATATATTTGCAAATATGTTTTAGTACACTGATTCCTTTTTTATTCAAGCTTAATTGCTTGAAAGTCCAATGTTAAATTCGATTTGACAATATAAAAGTAGCTTAGTATGTTGAATCTAATGTTTAATCAATGTTCGATTTACTTGGACTATAGTTTAATCAAAATCCAATGGTCAATTTCTTTTGCACAATTCATTCAATTGATCTTATTCTTTTCAATACTACAGAACATGGATGGTATTTCTTTCCGTCGTGGTTGGATGTATGATAGATGTTATAGTGGTAGAAGAGGTTTGAAAGAGTCTTTTGTTATAGGGGTTGAAGAGTTTGTCGGATTTGCTCGACAATATGAGTATTACGAACGTGATGGGGAATTCGATGTCCATGCACCAAATGCGATTGTACAAGAATTTTAAAGGATGAAATGGTCAAAGTTCACCTTTACAAGCAAGGGTTCAAACCAAATTATTGGATTTGGACGAGATCACGGAGAACGTGTGCCTGAAGTTGAAAATAATGTTGATGATAATTGTGTTAGCGATTCATGTATTGATGTACACATGACTGAACAAGACCAATTTATGTCAATGCAAGAGATGATGTACAATTCTCTCTGGCAACATCAATCATTTGAAGGACCCAATTGTCTTAACATAGAAGAGTCACCAAATGAAGCAATTCAAAGGTTTTATAATTTGTTGGTAGAGACAAATCAACCATTATTTGAGGGGGCAACAGATTCAAAATTGTCAATATGTGTTAGACTTTTAGCGTGCAAATCAAATTGGAATATTCATGATCAATGCTTAGACTTTATGACACGCATGTTGTTGGATGTCACACCTATAAAAGACAATTTACCAAAAACTTATTATGAGGCCAAGAGATTAGTATCAAAGTTGGGATTAGAAGTGAAGAAGATTGATTGTTGTGTGAGTGGGTGTATGCTTTTTTATGACAATGACAATGGCAAAAAAGATGCTACATTACTTCAATGTAAATTTTGTCAAAAGCCAAGATATCATGAGAAAAGTTGTGGAACAACCCATAAAAAGCCAGTTCCAGTAAAGTCCATGTTTTACTTGCCTATAATTCCTAGATTACAAAGAATATTTGCATCAATGCAAACTGCTGGGCAAATGACTTGGCACCATGACAATAAAACTTCCGATGTATTACGCCATCCATCAGATGGTGAAGCTTGGAAACACTTTGATCGAAAACATCCAACTTTTGCTGCTGATCCACGCAATGTCGGACTTGGGTTATGTTCGATGGATTTAATCCATATATTCGAGGCTTCATCTTCACCTTATTCTTGTTGGCCTATCATTGTTACTCCATACAATCTTCCTCACTGAAATGTGCATGACCAAGCCATACATGTTTCTAACTTGCCTAATTCGGGTCCATCCAATCCGAAGGCCTCTATTGATGTTTACTTAGAGCCTTTAATTGATGATTTGAAAAAATTGTGGAATGGTGTTCTCACATACGATATTTCAAAGAAACAAAATTTTATGATGAGGGCAGCTTTAATGTGGACAATTAATGATTTTCCCGCTTATGGGATGTTATCTGGTTGGGGGACTCATGGTAGATTGGCTTGCCCACATTGCATGGAGCATAAAAAATCATTTACATTAAATAATGGTCGTAAAAGTTGTTGGTTTGATTCGCATCGAAGGTTCTTACCAAATGATCATCCATTTAGAAGAAATATTAAAGCCTTTCGAAAGGGAGAAGTTGAAGTAGAAGGGTCACCTCCTCGACTAACACCTACACAAGTTTGGAGAAGAGTAAAAGATTTACCAAAAGTAGCTGAGTGTGGTATCACAAGGATAGAAGGATACGGAGAGTGGCATAATTGGACAAAACGAAGCATATTTTGGGATCT